TTTCAAGATTGCCTCATAAATGTTTCAAATAGTTTAGAAACTGGTAGGAAGATGGTGATGTGGATTGTCATTCTGCAATACATGATTAGAATGCTTCTTTCTGCCACCATCAGCTGTAATGGTGTGTTTCAGTGTTGTTTATTTCCAAGAGACAAAAGGAGCTTCCCAGCTGCAGAGGTTTCTTAGGTGTGCATCTTGTTGAGCACGTAGATAGGGCAGAATCCACATCTTTTACCATAATCCACATGATAGGAAGCCGACTTTAAATTATTCTACTGTCATTTTGAGATTGGGCATCAGTGGGGCTTTGTTTACCTGAAACCAAAAGAAGGCATAAGGGCTACAGAGCCACAGCAGGTGATCACCTCCATTTGCAGAGAGAGCTCTAGAGCATGGCGACCCAGTATGTAGAAAAAATATCAGTAGCTGGAGGGTCAGAAACAACAGTTTAAGGGTCATTTTGTGTTAATTTCATGAAAGGTATGAACTCTGTGTTTGTATAACTTCTATACACATAGAATCATAGGTAGCGGGGTAACATTGGTCAAGATCACACTTTTCCTGACTAAGTTTCCTTTGGTCTTTAGATTAATAGTTGACTTTATTTTCCTTCCTTTGTTCTTGGCTTTTTCTCCTTATCTCCATGATTCTTTCACAAATATTGTTCACATTCTTGATTGTTATAGCATTGTTTTAAGTGTAGAAGTCATATTAAGTCAATCTGTGTACAATTTTCCATAATCCCATTGATCATTCTGAGTGTTTCCACTGTGAATGTAGCTTTGCAATCAGCATTCCTCTTATAAATAGTTGGGCACTGTTGTTGGATTGTATTCACTTTATGCTGCAAATTTACCACACACAACATTTTAATTTTGATGGTGCCTGTTTCCAAGGATTATTTATTTGCCTCTTTATTTGTTTAGGTTTTGTTGTTCTTGTTATTGTTAATTTGTGATTGACTTGGTTTATTGGATAAAACATTTTAGCAGGTACCTCAGCACATAGTCTTTTTGGAGATGACCTGAGTTCAGATACCACACTCAAGTTGAGATGTTCATAACTGTCTACTATTCCATATTCTGTATACATGTGGAAAACATGGTCTCTCATGTACAAACATGTGCAAAAAGAGCAGTAAACTTGTTTTCAAAAGTGCTTGTGACTTATAAAGCAATTGGAGCAAATCAAGTTGCTTTAGGTGTATACTGATTTATTAACAATCTGTTGTCTTGCATTTTGTTTTAAAGTTTTTATTTCCTCACTCTGCAGACTTACAGTCAATCATCAATCATAGGAAACAAAATGTTGTCTAAGTGATCCTAGCTGACATCCTTTTCTTTATCAAAAAAGAATGAGATGCTTTTAGTGGTCAAAATTATTTTCTACAATGTTAAAAACCTCAGAAGGCTGTAAGCAAATCTCTCAAATTTTGGTGGAATACCCTCCTCACACAACCCATTTTCTATTATTGGCAAAGGAGAGAACTCTGTACAGGATGAGTTTTGGCCAGTGATTTCTTATAGTTTGATTTTGATTAGAATCTAGTCATTCTCATTTAAGGGTCCATGATATAGTTTTATAAGTATGTCCATTTGTCTCATTGTTTTCAGTGGTGCCATCTATGTTGTTAGTTTTATTTTCATTTATTTATATTGTTGTTTCTCTGGAAAATGATTGATCTTCACTAATTTTGTATTCAGAAAATTTCTTGTTATGATTTCCTTGACTTTTGTTGGTTTGGGAAGTATCTGTGGAGAGCTAGTTTTAGTTTTCTCTTCTTGATCTTAGAGGCTTGCCTCATCCCATTTCCTGGCATATCTGTTTTCCAGTTTTGCTATTTTCATGTTTGGGTTTTTGCTGCTTAAGTGACTGGATATAATTCATATATTGGCTTTAGATCTTGAAAACCTTCTCATAGATTATTGTCTCTTTTTCCTAATTAGTATGAGTTGTCAACATGACATAGCCTAGAGTCATCTGAGGGAACATCAATTTAGGATGTGCCTTCATAGGAATATCTGATTGCTGTGTCTGAGAGAAATTGTGTTGGTTATGATTAACGTTTGAAATCTCTTTCACTGAGTTGTCAATATCTCTAACCAAGTGGGCCTGGGCTAAATAAGAAAGCTAGTATAGTACAAGACAGTTACAAAGCAAGAGAGAATGCTAAGAAGCAATGTTTCCTCATGTTCTGCCTTTTATTAGCTTGAGTTTTTATCCTAAGCTCCCATAATGATGGACTGTGACCTAAGGGGATCAATTAAAGAAACGTGTTTATTGCCTGAGTTGCTTTTGGTAAGATAATTTAATCACAGCTTTCGGGGACTATAGGGGTCCAGCCCCTCAATAGTCCCCTCCCAGGGTCTGGGAAGAATCTACAAACCAGCTGATAATTAATCTTTGATGAGAAGAAATGAATCTGTTGTACATGAAACTCCTTAGTTCATATACTTTATTATTTTGTGTCAGTTAAAAGCTTATATTCTGCTCTCATATTTAGATCATTTTTAGCCTGATTTCTCCCTACACTTGTCTGCGATCCCCTCTAGGTTCTGTCTTAATTCCTTCATCTAGTTCTGCCCCTTCGAGGTTTTCATCCATCTTGTTCCTTCCCATATCATCTCCTCTCCCATCTCCTTCTCTCTCTTGTTTCTCTCAAGTTCTTACCCATCTAGTTCTTCCATTCTCTTTTCTCTTCTCTTTTCTCTTCTCTGTCCTGGATGTCCTGATGTATATACACTTACAAGCAGTAATCCCTTAGCAGTGCAAAGCCAGGCTTCCAGGGTCAAATGGAGGGGTGATAAGAATCACATAGGGAGGCAATAACCGCTAGTTATCATTTGCAACCCCAAAGGGAAGTGACCCATGGGGAAATGAATTAACTAAAGGCTAAATTCAGGTAATATCTAAGAAGAGGGCTCTTATGTGCTCAATTATAATCTTAAATATGATAGATAGAAAATGTTAAGAATCTGTAAGTTGCTAGATCAATGGAGAAAATAAAACTGTCTTCTTTTTTCCTGTGACTCATATCTGTCCAAGCTATCTGCCATTTTTCTACAGGGTGGGGAAAAGTGTGCCAGTCACTAGGCCACCTGTACAGCTGGATGGTTAAAGGGAGATCTGGTACTAGAGGTAAGGTTTGGGAAAGGAAAAAGTAAAGCTTAATTGGCACATCTGCCAGGCCTTCTCAAACAGTTAGCCTGGATGCTTAAGTCTGTTCTTAGAAAGTACAGAGGTATCTCTGATAAAGTACTTTCCTCCATCTGGGTATGGACCTGGCTGGATGCTGCCAATGATGATAATTACAGGGGGGGGGGGGCTTGAACTGGGGTTCTGGCTGAGCATAGCTGTCAGCACAGAAGGTTATCCAAATATTCCTAGAAGTGGTTAGATAAGGAGTTAGAACTCTATAAAGTTAGTAAGTCTGTAAGAAAGGAGGGTCCGAGCTCAATTGTGTTAAGCTATTACTGAACATTCACCTGGCCTAGGTGGTGTCTCCTTGTGGAATTTGTCTTAAGCAGGAGACTTGCATGTGGACTGTTATTACTGCTAGTCCTTGAAAGTGGCCAAGGGAGATATCTGATTCCAGAGAAAGCCTTTCCTGAGGCA